TTATTAATTTTAAATTAGACTCAAGTTCAAACACGATTTTTTCATTATGTTTTGAAAATTATTTCTTTCGAACGTTGAAAATTTAAAAAAACATATACAATAAAAAAATTACTTCAAAGTTATTCCAGTAGGAAGTGATGTTTGACCCAGTTTTACTTAATCCGAATATTTTCGAATAAACGACAGAGGGCAATAACGATAAAAAAAAGAAAAAAGAAAAAAGAAGTCAAACGAAACAGTCGTGCTACTCTAGAAAAATGTAGGCAAACATTTGTGCAACAAACGTAATGAAATGATTCACAGGGCTCGAACGACATAAACGAGACCCTGTTGAAGAAGATCAACGGCGCTGGGAACATTCATTTAGTACCGTCCAAGATAAACGACGTGTACTTCCTGAGGTTCGCGGTTTGCTCGCGATTCAGCGAGAGCAAGGACATACAAAACTCGTGGAAAGAGATAAAGCTCAGAGCAGACGAGGTCCTGGAGGAGCAGTCGGTTTCCAAGTGATGGCGGGCTCAGATAGCTCGTGGTTGCCGATCATTGGCGCCTGCAACCTGCAATCAATCCTAGTTTCTAGTTTCGTCTGTGTTTTGTCTCTGCTTGGAAGAATCTTGGAAGAGAGTGGAACGCCCGGTCCATGAACAAGGGATCTGTTTCGCGTATTTCGTGACATTTTTAAAAAAGCACACGACATTTGCAACATGCTTCCTCTTTTCGTCAAGAATCTTTCAATATTTTTGCTCCAATATTTAGTTCGGTCATTCGTTCAATTTTCAAATCAGATATCGTCCCAATAGTATCGTCAAACCTTCATTAGAGATTTTTTGCAAAATTGGAGTACTGTTCGAAGCTCTTCCCAAAATCACACAATTGGAAATTCGGTGTTTATTAAACTTTCTTGATCTTTCTCTTTCACTTGCAACAATTTGGAAGTTATTCGGAGTTATTCTTCTCGTGTTTTAAAAGCAAAAAAGTGTTCAAAAGCTAGCAATGACATTTGCCCAAATTGCAAATTAATGGACGAGTGGCCCCTTCAACTTTTCAACCAGTGTACATTGTACTAGAAATTTACTGACGTCGTGACAGTGTCAACTAGTCTAGAAAGTACGTTAAACAAGTCCATTGTTTAGAAGCAAGCCAAAGAACGTTTTCGACTGCCGTTCCACACTAGCGGCCGCATTACTTGCTATAAATGCAGCATTATTACGTGTCGCCTTGTGCCACTTTTCCGACGCATAGCCAAGCAAATAGCGTTCTGCGTTAGAACTGCTTTCTTCAAACGCGTGCGCGTGTGTAACTTTAGCAACGACGTTGCGCAATTGTTGGCATCGGTGGGTTTTGCAAACTATATCTGTTATACAGAGGATAATCTCGATAACGTCGATTTGCAAAAGCTTGTCCCTTCATCGTCAACCTCGACGCTAGAATTAACAAAATGGTTAAAACGACCAATTCGTCATTTTCGTTAGAAAAAGAGCGTATATTTAGACATTCGAATGATGTTTTTGAAAATCAAAATTATACAAATAAAAGTATTGTAGAGGTTTCCTTTTTTTTTTTTTTTTTTTTTTTTTTTTTTTTTT